TGTTCCACTTGTAATAATCTATAGTTCTTAAATGTATTAAGTTTATTTACCTATTTTTTAATCTTGTTTGCTATAAAGAAGAGAGAAAGCATAAACGAAGATCCCATTCCTCTGCTCCCCAGCGTCATGAGATCTGCTGGCAGAAATACGTCTTATGAAAGTGATAACTGTGATTTCATTGCACCACTTTTAAAAGCCAAATAGCTTCTGAAATAGTTTATACTTCTGAAAGTTACGCTTTGAATGTAGTTTGTGGTGGGAGAGGTACCAAATCATGGGAGTAGCTCCTGAAGGGGAAAGAATCACTTAAATTGTTGACATACCTTAGTGTTTACTTTTATGATGACTTTTGTTAAAGAAACGGTAATTAAAACTGCTTAATGGCTCATGCTGTTTGTAAACAGAAGTTTCTTTAACTGGATATCACGTTCATACTGAAAAGTTCTTGCCTCCTCTTTCTCTCGATTGCATTTTATAAAACATAGTTGTCATCGTGTGTATGACAAACCAAGGTCCCACCTGTGTTGTCTCTACATATATTTGAGGTAAGTACTTGTAATAGTTAAGGTACCGTTGATCACATCTTCATGTAGCACTGATTTTAGACTGTGCTGACATTTGCAGCATCTCAATGAGTGTCTGGGCTCCACTATTTTAAGTACGGCATTACATAGATCTTTAAAGCAAGGGCAAGAAGGGGTGATGAATCATATAGATTGGCTTCCTGTATGTAGTGAGCTCTTACACTTGTTTAACTTTGGTTTTTATTCTGGCAACTGTAGCTAAAGCAAATACTCAACAAAATCATTCAGTTTTTAGGCTGCACTGGCAAGAGATAGTTTCCATTACTTCCTGGATTGTCATTTTCATTGGAGTGCATGAGGATTGTTATGCGTGTAGGGTTAGTGAAAGAATAGTCCTCACTCACTATGGCTTACGTAGATAAAGCAGACAAAATGGGGTAAAAAGAGAGGTCCTGTGTTACAGGTGGCAAAATAGACTCAGAGGGAATACTGACTAGCCCAGCTAATCACACGGTAGCATCTAAAAGAGGCTGAAAATGAACTTCTGTCGTTTGTGACAGATACTGTGCTTTAACTGGAAAATGGTCCTTACTCTCTTAAGCAAAAAGAGAGCTGGAAGTAAGAGGATAGGTTAGTCTTCTCCTGACTATCAGCAAGGAACTACCAGGTGGGAGAGTGGTGTACAGGTCTAAGAGCTTCTGCTGCTAAGTATTTGTATATATCATTTAAGAGGCTGATATTTGTAAGATTCACTTTTGTTATGCAGTACAAGGGTAAAACGATACTTAAAAGGCTGAATTAGTGTAATGGAAAAATTCAGACCTTTACTGTTCATAAAAGTGATCTGATGAAATCGAAGATCGTTTGTATGTGCAGGAATATCTCCAAAATATGTTATGCATCAATCTTGCTCAGGATGCAGTTGCTTTTTCGCGTGACAAATCACTATAGAATAAGTTCTACCGTTAGCTGGAGCACAGGAGCAGCAGATCAGCGTGCCTGCTGCCCAGGAGCAAAAGCAAGGCTGTTGTGGTTGCTTAGCTCTTGCTGATGGAGGGAAACCTGAAATTACCAGTGAGTTTACTGCAATCTTAAGCTGTGTAATTTTGAAGTTACAGCTAGTGCTCAGTATTGCTGATTTAGACCTGCTCCTTTCAGACTTCACAGAGCAGAGTTTCAGCACAAAGATGGACCTGGCCTATCAATGACAGAATATAAAACAACTGCTTAAATATTGTTTCTCTTCAGAGGTTTATAAGCAAGGTAGACGAATCTGAAACGTGTACCCTCCAACAACAGTGTAAGCTCAGCTCTGTTGGCTTCACAGTGCGCTGTGGTCAGTGGTCACTTGGAGAAAATGTTTTATTTCTGCTGGGAAACTATTGATATAGGTGAGAGATGAGTGGTGAATGAATCCCCTTGCCAGCATGGGCGAAGCGCCGCAGTTGCAGAGCACGCAGAGGAATGTGGGGAGCAGCCTCTGCTTTGGCACTGCTGACGCTGATGTTCAGCCTGGGCTGCCACTGAGATGTTTGATTTCTGAGCAAGGGGCTGTTTGGTGTACGTCTTCGTTTTAGTAATTTGCAAGTCTGAAGTTTGTTGCTCACCAGCCCAGGCTGCGGCTCCAAGGATGTGGTTGCATCTTCCACAGCGAGGAGGAAATGGCCCACCTTTTGTAGGTGGGGTCTAAACCTTAATTAGGCAATTCAATCAATTCAAGCCAGCTGGGTGATAGCCATAATTCCCCCTTTTTGTTTTACAATTTTTTGTTTTCAAAGGTTTTTTCAAAGGTTTACAGTTTTTTTGTTTTCAAAGGTTTTCAAGAAGGCTTTACAGTGAGCAGAGACCCAGTCCATTCATTCCGACTCCAGCACGCTTCCCTCCCATGAATATCACGTCGGGGCTTGCGGCTTTACCCTCTTTACCGAAAGACTCTCACTCTGGCTCTGGCTCTTTTGGCTCTGGCTCCGGCGAGGGAGTCACGGTCCTCAGGGTCTCTCAGATGTATCACGTTGAGGTCACCAGATGTTGCTCACCAGCCTGGGCTGCGGCTGCAAGGATGCGGTTCCATCTTCCACAGCCAGGAGGAAATGGCCTGCCTTTTGTAGGTGGGGTCTAAACCTTAATTAGGCAATTCAATCAATTCAAGCCAGCTGGGTGATAGCCATAGAAGTTGGCTATTAAAAGATTAATGTGGAGATTTTTACCCTATTCCAGATTGAGTCAAGTGACCTGAAGGTGAAAATGTCTCCCTTCAATATCTAATTCCAAACTATTACTGCTTCCAGTAGAGATGATCAATAGTAACAGATGTCTTGCAAGGTGTTTTTTTTTTAATGCAATGCTTCCTTAGCCCATGTTAGAGCTAGATGTGGTGATCTTACAGTGGAAAAGAAACTAGAAGCAGCATTCATGGCAGTGTTATCTACAGTATGTTTATAGCTGTGGATTCTAAACATTCTAAACATTTAACTGGCTACAAGTGGCCTTTGGTAATTTGAAAGAAAGACAAGTACAGCTTTTCAACCTTTCCTCCCTATGTCCTGGCCCCGTTTTCTAGATCACAGGATTTCATAGGCTGAGAAATACTTACTGATTTGCTTGCATCCATGTTGATTAAGCAAAATAAAAGCATTGCTATTTTAATAGTAATTTTAGCTTACATTATGTCAGAACATCTTTGTTGGTAGCAAGCATCACAGGAGCAAGGATCTGGAGAGGACAGTGGGAAGTATGTGGGTGCGTGTCTGTGCATGTAAGTTGTTTTAGGGAAAAGAAGCCAATTAATTTTACAAGAAGGCTGATGAAAAATTCTTTGTGCAGCAGCTCTTTATCTCTGAAGTAACAGACCAAAATTACATAATTGCCTTAATTTTGGCCGGAGAGAGAAATATCCTTCGGAATGAAGGGGGACTGTTCCTTTTCTCAGTTAAAAGTTGGTTAAGTTTTAGTCTTGGAGAAACTAATTTAATGAGAAGAAATGTGAACCCTTGTAAAGCCTGGTTTGTGATGCTAGTAATGTCCTTCATTAGACTTGACCTGGTGTGTGATCGTTTGGCCAGATGGCACTGTGCAGGAAATGTACTTCACATTTTTAATGTACAAAAGAAATCTTTGATCTGCTTTTACAATGGATCATCAAAACCAGAAAACATGAAAACCACAAGGTATAGTCACCTAGTATTTTCTATAAACAGTTGAAATAAGTTGGATTTCAAGGCATGGAATTCCTTGGGGGTAATGGCAAAGAATAATTTCTTGGGGAATTTTGTATTGGAGATACTTTGGGTTATGGGGGAAGAGTCCTGATTAAATGGTAATGGTAAACATTTGTTTTTATTTTTTTTCAGATTAACTATTTTATGGCAGCAAGTTTTCAAAAATGCTTAGATCGTAGGTGCTTGAATGGAACATTATGTTTCTTTAATTGTATGTATGTGAACTGTATGATGGAGAGCAAATTAACATTGTGTATCCTTAAATACTTGCAAGTATCTTGGAAAAAGTACATTGTAGATTCTTTTGATTTGCCTTATGATTTAAGGAGCCTCTTGGGTCTGCGTGCGTCACACTTCCTAGCTTTTCCCTGTAGCCTGAGAGCTAAAATTATTTCTTTCTTCGAGCTAAAATTATTTCTTTCTTCCCAAGTAAAAGATGAGTCTCTTATGGGAGAATACAGAAGCTTAAGCCTCAAACACAACCCCCCACCAAAAAAAGGTCTTATATGTTGGAATGTATTAAAATTAAAAACATAAATGTACATGACTGGAGTACCTAAACTTGTGGTTCTGCTCGTTTAGTTATATTGAACTAGCAATAGCCTATTTTGGTAGCTCAAGTAGCAAGTTGCAGTCTTTGGGGCTTGACAGAGTCATACTTCACAGTAACAAAGAACTGAACTTCTGTGCTTTAGTGTGCCATTAAGCTGCAGTCTCACGTTTCAGAGCATGGAAATTGATTTACCAATTTGATTTTCTGAAGCATATGGTGATAATAATACTAACACTGTATAAGCATTATTTAAAAATACAATAGTATACTGGTATTGGATCTTTGGCAGGCCAGAACCAAAGTGAAACTACCATCATTTATTTAAGTTTAGTCTCATCTAATTTTAAACAAATGGAAATCAATACTGCTTGCGGATATTGGTGGCTGGATTGGAGAAAGAAGTGAAGTGGTATTGTTGCTAAAAACAGATTATATGAGTAAAAACAAATCTATGAATCTTATGTGTGTTCCTCTTTTGACTTTCTTGGTCAGGATCTTTTAGTATACTGTACAAAGGTAGATTTTTATTATTAATGACTGTGGTGTGTGCGCCCTGTGTAAAATGCGTGTGTTGTTTGCAATTTTAATGTAGAAATAGAAGATGAATGCTGATGAAGTCCAGTGCCCTTTTTGATGCTGGCTGATGTATGGATTGACACAGACTTCAAGCCTATTGAGTCAATGAATGCTATTTTTTCCTTTCAGATATGTGTCACAAAGATGTCTACACGGAACTGCCAGGGAATGGATTCAGTGATCAAACCTCTGGATACAATTCCTGAGGATAAAAAAGTCCGGGTTCAGAGGACACAGAGTAGTTTTGATCCATTTGAGAAACCGACTAATCAAGTGAAGAGAGTTCATTCCGAAAACAACGCTTGCATTAACTTCAAAACTTCATCTACAGGGAAAGAATCACCTAAAGTCAGGCGGCACTCCAGCCCCAGCTCTGTAAGTTCACAGTACTGACACCAAATAATGGAATTAATAACATTGAATAAATGTTTTCTTACTTAAGAAGGAATTGATTACTTGGAAACAAAAACAAAGCTCATGGTCGCTATTAAAGATATTTCCCATATGTATTGGTAGTGTTATGTATAAAATAGAATAAGAAAATAGAACTTGAAAAATACATGTATTTTGAAATTCCTCTCAGATATTAGCTAGGGTACCATATAGGCTTTCTAAGCACTTTTGTCTCCTGATCCTAGTATGGCATTACAGCTGCTATAAAGTTCATGTTGCAAATTTTGCAGAGGTTTGCTTATTTGTAAGAGAAGTCCTTTCCAGTGAAGTTTAGGAAACCACATGAATTGTCTTTTTGATTTTTAGCTTTAGGTTTTAGAGAAACAAATCAGATTTGACAGATATTGTTTGTGTTTTAAAATTACCTTTTAAAAATCTAGTAGTAAAAGTAACATTCATTTCCATGTCAGAAACTCTGGGGATGTGAGAGAGAGAGAGGAGATGGAGAGAAACAACTGAGAAAGGTTTGGCAACGTATCATCATTGTTGTTTTATTCTCAAGTGTTTTGAAAGAAACTAGATAAATAAAATGTCATATCTTTCATGAATAATGCCCAGAACAGATTTCCCCCCAAAGACTTTCAGAATTATTGAAAAACTTCTTCTGTTATGCTTTGGCAAGAAAAATCGATAATAATGTGGCCTTTGAATTGAAGACTACAGATCTAAGCAGAATGGATGCAACACTTCAAATCTTAGTCGGTGTGAAATAATTTAAAAGGTTGATTGCCTTTTCTTTTTTCTTTTCTTTCGTTTTTGTTTTACTCTGTCTTCGGGACATCTTCTGTCCTCCCTACAGAAGTTTGACTAAATTCTGTCAGACTTCTGAGAAGAAATGACAGAGATTCATCTTCTGTAGATGAGCTTTGTTTAAGCGATGTGAATTGAATGGATAAGATGTCATGCCTCCAGGGGACTGTCCTTTGTAGAAAAGGTTACGTTTTAAAATGTAACCATCTGTAGCAAAAAGAAATTTTCTTTTTCATCATCGCCTGGCATTCTATAGCTGCTGCCAAAGATGTCTCCAACGTGTTCCAGATGAGTCCATAACAAGGAGTTCTTACCATAAAACTTTTACAGTTGTTAAGGATGGACGGAGCGATTTGCACCATGTTTACTTGTGTGTGATGCTTGATTACTGTTTGGCACCACAACTGTCAATTTAAATGACTTTTTTTGAAAGTCTTTCCTTAAGTTTTTTTCAGTATTTCCTCACTCCCCATCTCTGCTGTTCTTATCTTTTTCCTCCTAGAAACTAATTTCTGTTAATGCTTTATGCACTTCTTTTCTATTAGAACTGAAGGTTTTTATTTGCTTTGCATCCTGAATTTTGAAGTAGGCTTTTTTTGAAACTGTTGCTGGCATCTTTTCCAGCAGGCTAGTACTCTACTGCATCCGTGCTTCCTGTGCAAATATGCTGCTGGGTAGAACCCTAGCTATACATAAGCTTTTGCTAATGTTCTCCTGTGCTGACTCACACAGACTTGCTGGGGACTTATCATGTGTTCAAGTAGGTGCATAGGAATTTCCTCCAATACAATTCTGTCTGATTTCTTAACTTCCCGTAATTCTCCATGATTTTTGTAGCTCTGTTCGGTGAAATCACTTTTTCCTTCTGCTTGGAAGCATTGTTAGTCATTTCTTCACTCTTCCTCACAAGGAGTGCTCCAAAGAGCACCTGGCAAGGAATAACTTGTGGAATAATGTCAGCATTCATGTCAATGAAGAAGGAAGAACAGGACTTCAGAGCAAGAGGTGGTGCTAGCCCTCTGCTGATCGCAGGTTACGTTTGGTCCTGCGTGGCAGGCCTAAGTTCAGACGTCCAAGGCGGAGAAATGATCAAGCCATTCCCTTCCCCCAGATCCTGAATATGTTGCCTTAGGCAGATGTTCTGATGCACATTTCATTGAGCATATGTCTGTGTGGTTAGTTGCAGGAATTTGTCATTCCCTGGTTTTGAATTACACTTGAATTGATGAAGAGTTTTGGATTTCATTTTTTCTCTAGTCCTGATGTTGTGTAGCAGATGCCCTTGCTGCTTCCTCTTGTGATCATTACTTATTTTTCTTCCATGTCAGAGGACTGCTACATATTCTCCCTTGTTGAGTTACAACTTGATTCTCTGGATGTTCTTTTGCTGTATGGATTCTACCAGTCTGAACAGGCGTTTCAGTTTCTGTAAATGTTCTTGAGCATGCTGTGCCCTCTGGGTTGTACTGGCTACGGTTGTGTAGTTGTGTTTCAGTTTTGGCTCTGCTTTCTGTAAGCTTTATTTTAAGATACTCTAATTGATGTATGCTAACTTCAATTTGCACTTTCTACGCTTGATTAGTAGAGGAACTGAATTAAAGATAGACTTCCGTTTAGTCTCTTCCTTTTCATCGTTTAAAGTCCTCCATAGCCATCAGGTGGGGAAGTTATGTCTTACAGAAAAAGGACCTGGCTGAGGCTTGCAGTCTCTGTATCACTGCTTCTGCTCAGGCGAAAGTCCTTTATTTCTCTCAAAAATAACATTTTTCAAGATGCAACCTGAAAGACCTTGTTTGTAATGCCCTAGGGCATTAGGTTCCATTTTGATCAGTTTGAGAAGCTTTATCAGCTTTCTGACAGGTATCAGCCTCGGTGTTTGATGAAGATCACCAAATAATACTCCGCAGGTGGCATTTTACCCATTTTGTGTTTTCCATACCTTCAAAATGCTCTGCAATTTGTGATGAGGAAGATGACACACACACAGGTTTGAGGAAGCTGGAACTCCACGTTCCTGCCCACAGATTGTCACTTGGAAGATAAATCATTTGCTCTTGAACATGAATTAATTTTCTGCAGTTAATGTCACACCTCGTTGCAACCTGGTAGAAATCTTGAGTTGCTAATTAGTGCAGTAGCATACAGGCAGAAGTCAGTACATTATTTTTTTTGTTCTTATAAGACAAAATTTTTACACTTAGAGTCTTTCCACCTGACATTTACATACTCATTATGTCACATCGCATTGCATCTTCTTCCCCCCTTCTTTTAAAGAGCAGAAAACATTTATGAGTGTGATTTCCAAACTATTTAAGCTGATTGAAATTGAATGTTATTATGGAATGAAATTTCCAGCAGAATCATAGAATCATAGAATGGCATAGGCTGGAAGGGACCTCAGAGATCATCTAATCCAACCTCCCTGTCATGGGTAGGGATGCCTCTCAACTAGACCAGGCTACTTAAGGGTCCGTCCAACCTGGCCTTGAACACCTCCAGGGAGGAGGCATCCACAACTTCTCTTGGCAATTTATTCCGAAGTCTTACCACCCTCGTACTGAAGAATTTCTTCCTAAGATCTAAGAACAAACTTATCCTTTTGTCACATCAGAATAATGGATAATATTCACCTTGGATTTAATGAGGTGGGTGTTTGCCTATCTGTGCATCACCTGTTGGCCACTGTTAGAAGAAGGGAACTTGGCTTTACAAACCTTTGATCTCATCCAGCCAACACAATATATATGTGTACATATACATGTATATATGTTATATACCTGTAGCTATAGTTGTGTGTACTTACCTGTCTATATCTATTATCTTTCTAAAAATCTTTTGCTGAGTCTTTTGCCTACCAAGAGAAGAAACTTACTTTGCTTTTCTCTAACCGAAGAAACAGTAAAACTATAAAATAAACTGAACAAAATAAAAAAAGTACAACTCAAAACCAAACACATGCCACTCTTACCAAAATAACACTGGCTTTAGAAGATAATTTGACTCTCATTCTCTGAAAGTTGTATTTGAGATCCATGCTCTTTAGGCATGTGGCCTTATTTATTTTTCTCCAGTGCAAGGTGAAGTTTTATTGTATTCAGTGTACACATTTTATACACTAAATAGTGATTTTGCACAGTACGTAAACAGAATATTGCAAGTTTTGTAAGCTAGCCATGTGGTTAAGATTTAGTTATGTCGTGATTTTGTTCTTTTTGAATGGCTTAAGATCCATGGCAATGAATCCAAATGTTATGCTAGAGGAATATGTACTACCTTTCAGTTACTTTTTAAAAAGTAAATGCAGAAAACCGCTAATCTTCTACCAACTCACATAAATGTAAAAAATTAATTGAGATAGAAATAATTTGATAAGCAGTACTTTACTGCATTGACTCTGCACTCTATTTGGGAGAGCAGCCTTTCTTCTGTTTCTGTAATTCTATTAATTTTCAGTGCTGTTATATGCAACCTTCCTCCAAAAAACTGCAGGCAAAAAGCATGACCTGATCCTGTTGACACATTGTGGATCAGTTCAATAAGAAATCTAACTTTAAAGCAGACACTAAAGTCAGATTTTTGTCTAAAAGTTAGGCATCATTTCTGTCTGCCCAAACACTTGGTGTGCTGTTCTCGCCTATCTTTGTCTTCAGGTGTATGCAACCTTCTCCAGTTTTAGGAACCTATTAATTAATAAGGTAACTGCATCCTTCCTGGTCGATACCTTTTTATTGGGGTAAGATAATTTCAGAGTTCAGTGCAGAGAGCGGATTTTTCTTTTCTGGCACAAGGGAAGCTTTAATAATCGTCAACGTGGAGGATACTCTCTACATGATAAGGCAGATAAAATGTGGCAGTTGGTCTAGCTCCTGTGCTTTAATAGCCTGGAGAACTAGTGAACAGCTTTAAAAACTGCATCCAGCCCTTTCACAGAGAGCTCTATGATTGCCCCTGCTCAGGTTGCTTGCTCTTAATTTATGGCTGCGTGTTAAAGGGTTTGAAAGATGCCAGCAACAGGATGAGATCAGATAGTAGTACAACTCGGATTAACGCTCCATTTGGGTTCTTGAACATCGCTGTATCCCTTGAACATTGCCGTAGAAAACAGTCCAACTTGCAAGGTTTAAAAAAGAAAGAAAAAGATGTGACCAAATTGACCTCTTATTGTACATGGA